TTTTGGACAAGACACGTATATCCCAGCTGTGGCTATCTCAGTCTCAAAGACTGTGATATCCTTTCACATGTGAAATTCATCCCCCTAATGCTACTATCTCATCTATTTCTGAAGCTGCAGAATTGGCAATTTTTTTCTTTATTCAGTATTTGCTATTAAGCTATCTTCCAGCTCAGGCCTCTCTGTAGTCTTTCAATATAACCTCCCAATAAGAGGCATCTCTTTCTCAGTCTCAATCTCTGTCCCTCCCTCATCTCTCTCTCCCTCTCATTTATTGCATATGAATGCCTAAAGTACTACATAGCAGCTTATGTCATTCGATTGTTCCAAAAGACCCCTAAGGTAGAAGAGAATGTTGGAAAGAACTCCAGCTGATTCCACTGAATGCCTACCATATGCTAAGCACATATACGGATGCTATGGAGTATAATCCTCGAAACAGGTTTGGGAAGAAAGATACAATTGCCTGCCTATCATAAATTATCACACTGAAGCCCAGGGTAGCAAACTGGGTTGGAGAGATACTGTCCTCACCTCTTACACAGAGACCAGCTGAGATGCATAGAATGAAGGTCACTTGCACAAGTCACAAGAGAAAAGCAGTAAAAGAAGACCTGAATTCTAGTTTAGTGCTTGCTCCCTTCGCCTGGACTAGAGGGTTGTAGTACTTTTTTGAAGAAATGGCATGAGAGTGAGGCAAAGTGACTATATTATGAGTATTTCCTTCTAATGTGGTGGCTTTACTGCATATCTGAAGTTTTAGCAGCTTAAGAATACGAGAGTGATATGTATTGTTTTCTTAATCCAACAACAACAATAATAGATTTTCCAGGATTTTTTGTTTTTGTTTTTTACTTTTGTTTTTCCATTTTGACAAACACAGAAGGCTGGATGATAGAGCTCTGGGCATTTAAACTGCTTCTGTAACAACAAAAATTGATTTGTCCTATCATTAGCCCAGAAGTACTAAGTTTTGAGATTATGTATTATTCCATTCTTGACAGTTTTCAACCTCTAATCAACTTTGAAATGGATGAGACTGTCAGATTCTCAGATTTGAATCACATGCTGTTGTGGTGAGGCGAGTACAAAGCACATACAATAAATGATCTGCCTAAGGGATTCGCATTTATGTTTGCTTATGGATCTCTTGAAAGGCTTTCTACAGTAGAAAAGATTCTGCAACCTTAATCTAGAACACGATCTAAACATCTTTACGTACAACCTTAACATTGTAACATTACTTTAAAGACTTGTTTAGGAAGAAGACCCTAATCCCTGGTGCCTCTTCCTCATTTTAGGTGACCTGCCTGCTGCACTTGACATTGTTGACAACCTGTTCTTCAAATTCTGTCTTTTCCAGGTTTCTATTTTTCTGGTACATCTACTTGCCTTTTTGACACGTTCTTCTTAATTGGGTCTTCTTCCTTCTAACTCTGGATACATCAAAGACCTAGTCTTTGTTCCGCTCTTCATTTTACTTTATTTTCACACTCTCAGAAAATTAACTTCCTTCTATAGCAGCTTTCTCACAATTTTTTCTCTAAATTACCCCTGGAAGGAACAGTGAATTAATGCAGATTCTGTCCTATGTTTTACCTTTAAAATGTTATATTGTTTTCTATTTCAAAACTTTTCATTGCAAGTGTGCATTACAATTTTTTTGGAATTACAATTTTTTTAAAACATTTTCCCTATATTTTGGAATATGCTCCCCAAAGCTATCTTATTATATCCTGTGGCTTATGTAATAACTCCCTGTCCTCTTGCCATGTAATCTTAGAACTAAAAAGCTTTGTCTTAAACTATCTTTATCTCCATTCCTGACCTGCACCCCAAATCCAGGCAAAACTCTGTCTAGTCAGGATTTTACTTAGCAATTCTGGCAAATACCTGACATGCAACATGTTTAAAGGCAAACATATCACCTTTCCTTCTAAACTCACTCGCTTCTCTCTGGAAATGGTATCATGTGACACGAGACTAAGATTCCAGTGTTATTTTCAATTCTTCCTTTAATTTGCATATACAGTAATTAAATCTTATTTATTATGTTCCACTTCTCTTCTGTAGTCCTTCATAGTCTAGCATCTTCTATAACACATGCAAGGATCTTTAACCTTTTGGGGAATCAAGGACTGTTTTGATAATCAGAAGCCCCTGTATCCTTTCTCCAGAGGATCTATATTATATATACATTTTTAAGTAGGTTCAAGCTCCCACCCCAATAAAATGGCTTAACAGCTAGCATCCTTTCCTCCAAGACTTCTGGCAAATTGCTGTCAGATTTACCTTCCTTAAATACTGTCTTTATCAAGTCATTAGCCAACTCAAAATCTTTTATAGCACTCAACTACACAGAATATAAAATGGAAGAGTTGGATGATGTTTTAGTGTATATTAAGGGTTTGTATGACTCAGCCACTTTATACATATTATTAAGTTAAAACTCCTAATAAATTTATACAGTAATATTATTATCTTCTTTTTATAAGGAGGAAAAAGAGACTCACATATTTAGGAGAGCAAGGATTCAAATCCAAGCCTCTCTTACTTCACAGCTTATGATTTTTCTCTTGCTCCAAGTTGTCTTCATCATGCCATTTTGTCTAAAATCCAAACATCTTCCTTTGCCTCGCATAAATGGTTTTTTCTCAAAACTTTTTCCAACTTTGTCTTCCATGACTCTCTTTTTATAGTCACTGCTCCAGATGGAGTTATCTTTTTATTCTCCCCCCAAACTTACCTCCTTACCTAAGAAAAAGAAAGAACAATTAATGGCCTTTGTTCTTCTTACCCAGCCCCTTGCCATCTTCCGAGGCTCACTTTAATTTGTGATTTCCTTCTCCATAAACTTCACCTCTTAATATCCAGTTGGTACTTTTAAATATACACTTTGTCATTCCCTCTTAGTATTTTTTCTACACACATTTGTACTGTTGCTAGCTTAGTGCTGTGTGTATCCTCCCACCCCATTAAACTATAAGCCGTTGGGGGAGCCATGCAAACAGCAGGGCTTCCCTATAATTGTAGAAGGAATGATTGTGCATGTGTGAATAAGTGACCCATTTTCCTGGCATACAACCCAGCCACAATTATTTAATCTTTATTTTCTCTAAGTTGATCCCTTTGTGTATTCTTTATGAAGTGGAATAAGAGTGTTGATTTTTCCTTTTAAATGTTACGAAAATATTTACTTTAACCACACTGGAAACATGTTTTGAACTCTAAAGGGAGTCCTTCATTTAAAATAGGGGAAAGGGAAATTTCACTCAACTCTGTGGTTCTCAGATAGACCATTAGACTTTCCTTCTGTCAGTAATTATGTTCCTCAGTCAAAATAAGAGACTGTTCTGCCTTGCCTTAAGAAACAATAGAAATAGAACCTGTTCACGCTTAAAAATCTAAATCACGTGTTTAGTGTTGACTGGTTAGGACATTGACTTGGACTGTTGAGAATAATACACAACATGCTCACAGGTTCACCGTCTGCATGATCCTAAATAGAATATTCCCATTAGCTGAGCTCTGTGTAGCTATAGGACAGGAAATATATCTAGTGCTCTTTCAGAGAAGCAGGGGAAACATTTTCCCTAAAAACACAGAGTAAATCAAAGACAGGGCCTAATATGGAAAGGTTATTTCTTTTCCTCTAGTTTAAATACAGTATAATGTTTCTATCCCTGTATGTAAAATAAAGGGGCACCCTAAAGAGATCTGAAAAATAAATGTTTATGTTCCTTTATTCATCCTGTTTTCGTACCTTCTTTTTCAGTAGGAGGAATAAATAGGCAGTTCACTTGTTCTTTTAATAAATATTTATTGAGTTACTACTCTAGACTATAATCTCTGCCTTTTCTACCAATTCTGCATTTATCCTTGAGCAAAACATTGAGCCTCCCTCCTTGAATCATTCACATATAAAAATCACTGACAGCTATAGGTTTTACTCCTTCGGTCAACACTAGGGTATGCTTTTGTTTCAGACCCTCACCAATCTGTATATTTTTTAAAAATTCTAATTGAGGTATAACACATATACAGAAAATATACCACTCTATTAATTTCCGTAGAGGAAACACATCCATGGAATCATCAACCAGTTCAGTAAACTGAACAATACCAATACCTCTGAAACTCTCCTTATAATCCCACCTAGACTCCATCTTCCTTCTGAAAAGGTGCAATCACTACCCTGATTTTCCCATTTTTAAGAATTTCTTAAAGTCTGCCTCTTGTATTTACCCAAAACTCTCCATCTTGTCATTTGAATCTTTAAGCCTATTAAGCGCAGTTATTTTAGGATCTCTGTTTGATAACCACAATATCTAGTTCTCCTATGGGTCTGTTTCTGTTGTCTGCTTGCTTTCCTTTATTTGGGTCATTTGATGCTAAGTCCTGGTATAGTTGATAATCTTTTGAGTGTCAAATATTATGTATGGAAAATTGAAGTGATGTTTTGAAGCTTTGGAAGGTGTTAGCTTCTTCCAGATTCAATTTTCATTTGCTTCTGGAATTTAGTTTGAGATTGAGTTTTTATTTTCCTTAGGGCTAGTTTAATTCTTTAATTCTGATTTACTGAAATACACACTTCTTCTTGTGGGTAAGAAAAAAGATTGTTTCTTTATAAACTGCCAGGTATGCTTTCTTCATTGGGTAATGAAAGTTGTATGGACCCAGTTTTGTTTCATGACGGATACCAGCAATCATAGCTTTAAGTATTATGTTCTATTGTAACCATTCCACCTTTCCTATGCTCCATTATTTTTTAACTCTTGCTTTTTTATGCCAGTCTGTGGTTTTATTATATTGTGATTTCTTATGTAATTTTCCTCAAATTATTTGTAGAAGTGGATGGGGTGAAAATATAAATAAGCATACTATATGGGTTTTGAAAAGTGCTTTGTGAGCATTTCAAGGTGGTACCACCAGGTAATTTTTTTTTTTTTTTTTTTTATCAATACGTGGGCCTCTCACCGCTGTGGCCTCTCCCGTTGCAGAGCACAGGCTCCGGACATGCAGGCTTAGCGGCCACGGCTCACGGGCCCAGCTGCTCCGTGGCATGTGGGATCTTCCCGGACCGGGGCACGAACCCGTGCCCCCCTGCATCGGCAGGTGGACTCTCAACCACTGCGCCACCAGGGAAGCCCCACCAGGTACTTTTAATTTTATTGTTGTTGTTCATTTGTTTGTTTTGATTTGTTTTACTCAATATTTCTTCTTAGTAATTTTGTATAGCATTTGCATTATTTCAAGAACTGCCCTTCTCCCACTCATGTGGTTTTGGTAGGTGTATTAATTTCCTAGGGCTGCCATAACAAAGTACCACAGACGGGGTGGCTTAAAAAAATTTTTTTTTTCCTGTCACAGTTCAGGAGGCCAGAAATCAAGAATTAAGGGGTCACGGTGTTGGTTCATTCCTGGGGGCTCAGAGAAAGAACCTATTCCATGCCTTTCTCCTAAAGCCCAGTAGTTGCTGACAGTCCTTGGCTTGTGGATACATCACAGTCTGTGCTTCCATCATCACATGGTGTCCTCCCTGTGTGTCTTCACACTGTCTTTCCTTTACGCATGTCTGTCTCTTTGTCTCTTCTCTTCTCATAAAGACACCGATCACATTGTATTAAGGGCCTACCCTACTTCAGAATGGCCTTATCTTAATTAATTACATCTGGAATGATCCTATTTCCAAATAAGGTCACATTCTGAGGCTCCAGGAAGACATGAATTCTTGGGAGCCACCATTCAATCCAGTACGGTGGGATGATCAACCACATTATTCAACCTTTTGATTACAGAATTAGCCAATCAGACTCCTTGGGGATTTTATATATGAAAACTGGTAGAGAGGATTTCTCTCGTTCTTCTTGGATCACCACAGAGAGACAATGTAAGCCTGAAACCTTTTTCAACAGTCTTTTTAAGAGGCTAATATAAAGAGAAAAACAGAACTGAAAGATGTGAGGAAGGGAGAGTACGGGGATGGGGAAGGGAAAGAAAGATCTGGAATTCCAGATACTCAGAGCAGAAAAAATAAATCCTTTTATTTGTTTATCTATGAGGATGTTTCTGCTACTGAAAATTGTTGTTTATTTGTCTATTTTAATGGAGAGGATTTTCCATAGAGCCAAGCACACTCTATTATATGGCAATTTTGAATCTTAGAGAGAAGGCAAGTGAGAGAGGGAGAAATGTGTGTGAGTTGAAAAATATATTCAATGTACCTATTGTTTTTATAATACAAACTTTATAAACTTAAGATTGACAGTTTTAATCATGGTGGCTATTTCCAGTTTTTTATTCTTCAAACAGCCTAAATGTGTACCAATGATGGAATAATTAAATAAATTAATGTGATTTATATTCTGAATATTATGCTGCAATCAAAATTGTGGGGCAGGGCTTCCCTCGTGGCACAGTTGTTGAGAGTCCGCCTGCAGATGCAGGGGACATGGGTTTGTGCCCCGGTCCGGGAAGATCCCACATGCCACGGAGCGGCTGGGCCCGTGAGCCATGGCCGCTGAGCCTGCGCTCCCGGAGCCTGTGCTCCGCAACGGGAGAGGCCACAGCGGTGAGAGGCCCGCGTACCGCAAAAAAAAAAAAAAAAAATTGTGGGGCAGATCTCTATGTACTTATGTGGAAAGGGCTCTATCATTATGTTAAAAAATAAGTCATGGAACAAGATGTATATTTTGCTCTCATTTATGAGAACTGTGCATGCATGCACTTGCACACCTACACATGCACACTTGAAAATGTATACTGGAAAGATAGTTATAAAACTGTTAATACTTACAGCTGGGAAATGTGGGGATGGAGAATTGGGGGCAAAGATAAAAGAGGATTTCTAATTTTATCATTCTATGTATTTATTCTCTCTTCATATTTCTACATATATTCATTTAATACTTCCTTTATTAAAATCAAACAGGTCAATGACACAAAAGGAAATACTCTTCTTATATAGGTTGTGTTTTCCTTCACTTCCATATGCTCCTATAGTTGTAGAGACGTTGCCCTTTGAAAAGCATATATGGGTGTCACACGCATAAGTACCTTTAAGGAACAAGAAGGTATCAGCAGTGAATAAAGAGTGCTGAGCTGAGACTCTTTGAAGTGGACAGGACTCCTGAAGTGGACAGGAGAACGTGTTCTCTATCTAAAGTGGGTAAGTGTTCCTTAGCTGCAGGCTGTTGCTGACATGGTGCCATTGTGACCGAGCATTGTGAATCTTTATACATGTTTCTTGATACACATTTGCCAGTCTGTAGGATAAATTCCTAGAAGTTGTACTGCTGGGTCAAAATAAATGCATATTTTGGAATCTGATAACAGCTAAACAAAAGTCAATCGTTATTACTGTTTTAACATTACTAAATGCTAAAGGCTTTCCTCTGATATCTGGGTAAAGTGTAGATCTGGTTAGATCTTGGTGAGGGCTCCCTAAATATAATGTGGCATTTTTATGTAATAAGACAACTGGCTTTGGTTATGTTCTCCTTAAGTGCAAATATAAACTGTTTAGTATCAAAAAATAAAGAAGAATGGCACCCGCTGCTCCCTTCATGTCCCCCGCACACATCAAAGGGAGTAGAGCTGTCTGTGAAAAGTAGATCAGACATCTTTCACTTATGATGAAGACAACAGTAGAGAAGACAAAGCGGATCTTCATAGCAACAAATCAGATGCCTCGAGGAGAGCCAAGTGGAACAGAAACGAGGCCCTATGCCAAAAATCTGAAGAGGCAGGAAGTGCCTTGGGATGTGCTCCAGCTGCAGCGGAAATGTGAGGAGCCTCAAATGGTTAAAAGCAAATAGTCTGCCAAGAAGAGACTTGTGTATTGCAGGATGTGTCGCTACAAAGAATTTCTCCAGCTCTTTGTTGTTAAGTTATTTAATACTGTGCATATCAATTTTCTTTTTACTGAATTTTACTGCATGAGATGGGGGAAAGGCTGTGGTAGACAGATATTGATTTCACCTATTCTGCCGTTGCTGCATCATCTCATCTTGCCTGTAACATCCCCATGAAAACACCATTGAAGGGTCAATGAGCTGTAAAATGATTACTTTTATCCTCCAAAATAATATTTCACTAATGTCTATAGTTAGAAATTCATACAGTATTTCAAGGGTATAGATTTATTATGAGACATAATCTTTGCACTTAGGCAAGGCCTATACTTTTATTAAAGACAAATTTCATCCAAAGGGCAAATATAAACAGAGATTAATGGATTCGTCAGTTTTAAATTTACACACTGAGGAAAGGGGCAAATAACATTACTCCCACTGAAGATTCTATATTCGATAAAGTGAGCATCGGTATATTGTGACCTTAACTGAAAATGATCAGTGGTGAAATCTAGAATAGTCATAACAATAGCTTTTATTTGTGAAGTATCTGCAATTCAAAAAGCACTTTCACAAACCCTCACTTGCAATCTATGCCGATTAGCAACCTTGTGAGTTTTCCAAAATAGGTGTTAAATTTGATTCATCAAGGTTACCTCAAGTCCCTTTGTAAAAAGGTCAGAGTATAAAATTCAATAAGCAATTCTGAGATTAGAAAACTGAGAGGTTAAGTTTATTACCCAAGGTCGTACGAGTTCGTAATAGAGCAAGGCTTAAACTTCTGCAGAGCTCAAGGGCAGAACTACTGAGGTCCTACTTGCTTTTATCTTCTGTCTTCAGAGAGTGTGTTCTTTATTGTGAGCGTTTTCTCCTGCTCACTCTGTCAATAATGGGTATCATGAGTTCAGAGCCACTTTTTACAATAAGAAATGTTTCCTCATACAGAACTATTTACTATACTCAGTGTCATTTGCCATTAGCTGTGCTGTTTGGCTCCATTGAAGGAAAATTATTTTCAAGTTGAAAAGGTAAAATATATATGAAAAGGTACAATAAAGCCCAAATACAGGTGAAGAGAATAGCTATTGGCTTTTAATGAGCTGATACCTGTTAAGGCCAGGGAAATTTGGTGTGGTGAAAAGAGCATAGGTTGTTTATCCAGTTTGGGTTTGAAATCTGGCTTTTCCATTTCTTGCTGTGTGAAATATGATCAAAATAGTTCTTAGCTACTTTGAGCCTCAATATCTTCAATGATAAAGTGGGAGTGGTAATAGCTATGTCATGGGATATTTCTTAAGACCTAAAATAATGCATGTAAAGTGATTGTACTTCATGGGTACGTCATAAATTGTAGCTATATAACTAATATAGTATGATATCAACTTGCTGAATTGACTTAGATACCATGTGATTTGCGGAATACATTCTAATTAATAAATGATTTATCAGAACTTTGGGGGAAATAAGTGAGTATTAAGGCTTAGTATTCACTAAAATCAAATCTTAATGTATTAATCTCACTTCCTTTATAAAGGGTGATACTAGATCAGGGATCAGCCATCTAAAGCCTACAGGCCAAACCTGGCCTGCAGCCCGTTGTTGTGTGCCCTGAGAACCAAGGTTTTTACATTTTTAAATGGTTGAAAGAAAATCGAAAAAGTATATTTCATACCCTGAGAAAATTATATGAAATTCAAATTTCAATGTCCATAAATAAAATTTAATTAAAATAGAGTTACATTTATTTATTTGCATTATGTCTAAGGTAGCTTTCCCATCCAGTGACAGGGTTGACTAGTTGCAATAGAGATCACATGACCTGCAAAGCCTAAAATATTTACTATCAGGCTCTTCACAGAAAATGTCTAGACCCCTGCACCAGAATATTAGGTTAGAGAAATACCCCAGACACAGTATAACTGTACTTCAGAAAATGTTTAACAAAGCTACCTGAGAAAGGCAGCTAACGCTTAAATAAACATAAGTACTTTCCCTCTATATTCTGGACATATCCCTGGGAGGTAGCTGCCTGCTATGATTATATTTCCCATGTTCCTTTCTTCTTGGTGTGGCCATGTGACAAGTTTTTGCCAATGAAATGTGACTGAAAATAATATGTACCCTTTCCAGGAGAGAGTTTTTAGGAAGCAGGAGTTCTTTCTCTTATGCATTTTACCCAGCAGACCCTA